TTAGGGGGGGGTTAATAAGGGGGGGGACGAGGTACTATTTGCGGGGTCCGGCCGCGGTAGAGGCGGGGGTCGGGCTGGTAGCGCCGCCCTGCCGCAGCTGCTTCATTTCATTGACCTTGGCCATCCATTGATTCATCTTTGCTGCCCCTCCCTTGTTGGGTTGCCCTCTCTTGCTCGGAACAGTGTATTACCTAAATTAAAAGAAATGAAAGAAATAAAACGATAATTAAAAGAAATAATAATAATAATAATAATAATATTATTTTTATTTCTATATATAGCCAGCCAATAGCCTGCAAATTACTTGAATTCCTGCCAATGGGCCGATCGCCAGGGATTGGATGACGTCAAGCAACGTAGTAGCTGTGGGTGGGAGGAAAAAAGCAGGTTCCGAAAATCGGAAACACGCAAAAGTTTCGTTTTGTTTGCTCTTTTCTCGTCTCTCGTTCGTTTCGTCACCGGAAGCTGCGTCCAGCCTGCCGGATTGATTCATCTTCACAGATCTTTGAGATAAAGTACGAAGACTCCCTTCCGCCCCCTAGGGGGAGTGACACTCTCTCTTTTCGTACAGGGGAAAAACCCAATGGGGCCACTGGTCATCATATTATCTTTGATTTTAATTAAATGAGCCTTCGCGCCATTATGTGTTGGCAGCAGATGAAGCAATCAATTCGCCTGGCGCCTTCTTCGGCCCGCACCGTGGGTCGCGTCGCTCCCCTCATGCGCTCCCGATTTTTGGCCGCTCAGGTACGCGCACCACCCAGCCCTTCGTTTTTTCTCCGTCGACCCTTGCCGGCCGCTCATCATCGTCATCTTCGTCATCGCCATCATCATGTGCGTGCGCTTTATCTCTCGCCGACTTGACTGTCGCTGCCGTGCCACGCGCAGGGCTCTCGGGCCGTGCTGTACCGCAGCAGCTCCTCGAAGGTGTTCCCGCCGCTGGACACCTTCCCTCGCCGCCACATCGGCGTCACCGACGCCAGCGTCCAGGTTCGGCCCTCCGTCCGCCGCGCTCCACCGCCGGCGAGCTCCCCTTTCAACACCATTCTCGTTATTTATTTATTAATTTGTTGGTTTTGTTTTGTTTTGTTGCCGGGTTGGTGGCGGCGGTGGCGGTGATGGTGATGGTTGTGGTGGTGGTGGTGGTGGGCGGCACGGTGCAGGAGATGCTGTCCGAGCTGCAGCTCAAGTCGATCGACGAGCTCGTGCACAAGACCGTGCCCGCCAACATCCTGCGGGAGCCTCTCAACTTCAAGGAGACCGGTACGCTTTGTTCTACATTTAGCCCTCGTTGTTGTTGTTGTTGTTGTTGTTGTTGTTGTTTTGTGTTTTGTTTTTCTATTTGTTCGGCAAGCCGGTCGCGTTCTGGAGGGGGCGCGTGCTGAACGAGCCCTCTGGCGGTTTCGGGTCGCCTGGCACAGGTCCGCGCGGCGAGTCGGAGCTGTTGCAGGAGTTCCGCAGCAACCTGCAGCAGAAGAACAAGCTCCTCCGCAGCTTCATCGGCATGGGCTACTACGGCACCATCACCCCGGCCGTCATCCAGCGGTATATATATATACCAGAACGCCATGCTCACGACTTGATCACAAACACAAACACAAACACACACACACACACCCGACTTTTGTTTCGTTCGACATCACTCCTTTCCTCTTCTCGCGCGTCCACTCACAAATGGCTCCGTGTGTGGTGCAGGAACATGCTGGAGAACCCCGGCTGGTACACCCCGTACACGCCCTACCAGGCCGAAATCGCCCAGGGCCGCCTCGAGAGCCTCCTCAACTACCAGACCATGGTACACACGGCACACGCGACACACGCGACACACGCGTACACTACACCCGCTGGTGGCGGTGGTGGTGCTGATGACGGTGGTGGCGGTGGTGGTTACGTAGGTGACCGACCTTACCGGGATGGACATTGCCAACGCGTCCCTGCTCGACGAGGCGACCGCCGCCGCCGAGGCCATGTACGTCCACCACCACCCAATAGCTCCACCTTCTCGCGCTCGACCCGCGCGTTGTCGCTGACCCGTGGGTTCGTGACAGGGCGATGTGCTTCGCGGGCACCAAGAAGAAGGGCGCGCAGGCCGGCAGCTTCTTCATCAGCGACGACTGCCACCCGCAGACCATCGCTGTCGTCAAGACCCGCGCCACCGCCCTCGGCGTCAACCTTATCGTGGGCAAGCCCGACACCTTTGACTTCAAGGCCAACGAGGTGCGCCGCCTCCTCTCCCGTCTCCACGCGCGCCTGCTCACCGTTCTGCTGGTCGTCTGGGTTTGTGTGTGTGGCGTGTGTGTGTGGCGTGTGTGTGGTGGCGTGTGTGTGTGGTGGCGTGGGTGCGCGAGAGCAGGTGGTGGGCGCCATCGTGCAGTACCCGACGACCGACGGTCGCGTGGTGGACTACGGCGACTTTGTGAAGCGCGCCCATGAGCACGGCGTGGCGGTGGCCTGCGGCACCGACCTCCTCGCCCTCTCCCTCCTCAAGCCCCCCGGTAGGACCACCCCCCACCCCACTTATTCGTTTCCTTTCCATCGAAGAACGCCCACCAATAGCATGACGGCGATGATGGGCTCATCACTCCGTTTGGGCGCGCCGCGGGTGGCCAGGTGAATTTGGCGTCGACATCGCGTTCGGCTCCGCGCAGCGCTTCGGCGTGCCCATGGGCTACGGCGGCCCCCACGCCGCCTTCCTCGCCACCGCCGACAAGTACAAGCGGTACGCCCGGTCTCGTTATTAATTATTAATTCTTAATAGGTATTGTTATTATTGTTATTGTTATTATTATAATGGAGAATAAATATCATTTGTTGTTGTGGCGGCGCAGGAACATGCCCGGCCGCATCATCGGCGTGTCGAAGGACGTGACGGGCGAGGTGGCGCTCCGCATGTCGCTGCAGACGCGCGAGCAGCACATCCGCCGCGAGAAGGCCACGTCCAACATCTGCACGGCGCAGGCCCTGCTCGCCAACATGGCCGCCATGTACGCCGTCTACCACGGCCCCGAGGGGCTCAAGCAGATCGCCCAGCGCGTGCACACCATGACCCGCGTGCTCGCCCAGGGCATCAGCCAGGCCGGCTACCAGGTAACACGCCCCCACCCATCCACCCGCCATAATAATTCCATTTCTCTCGCAGCCAATCCGCAACAACAACTTATCCAACCGGTTGTGCGTGTGCTGCAGTTGCAAGGCAACGAGTTCTTCGACACCCTCACGGTCCACGCCGGTGAGGGAGGCGCCGACGCCGTCGTGCAGGCCGCCCTCGAGAAGGGTATTTATGCGCCAACGCTGTCTTTGTGCGTACGGTGGTTCGCTAACACACACGCAAAACGCACACGTAAAACACACGACACACGACACACGACACACGACACACGACACACGACACACGACACACGACACACGACACACGACACACGACACACGACACACGACTTCACCAAGGCCAAGACGGGCAAGGAGGGCAGCGTGTCGCTCGAGCAGCTCCTCGCCGCGGTCCAGTCCGGCGGTTCCCGCGCGCTCGGGGACCTCTCGGCGCACCAGCGCGCGAGCGGCTACCTGGCCCACCCGATCTTCAACTCGTACCACACCGAGCACGAGCTCCTCCGCTACCTCTTCAGGCTGCAGTCGAAGGACCTGGGCCTCAACACGTCCATGATCCCGCTGGGCTCGTGCACCATGAAGCTCAACGCCACGAGCGAGATGTTCCCCATCACCTGGCCCGAGGTCTCCCAGCTCCACCCGTTCGTGCCCCTCGACCAGGCCCAGGGTACGCCTGCACTGCCCCCCCCCAAAGGAATTCCTCTTCCTTCGATCGAATTCCTTCCCCTTTGGCCTTCCATGGAAGCGAGGCCCGGTGGCTGACAGCGGGGGTGGGGGCGTCCACAGGTTCGATCGAAATGCACAAGGAGCTCGAGAGCCTCCTCTCCAACATCACCGGATTCGATGCCGTCTCCCTCCAGCCCAACGCCGGCGCTCAGGTAATGCCCCCCCCCTCTGCGCATTCCACCCATGCCATTGCATGCCGTTGGCCGTCGTCGCCTAATCCGTGATTGGCCACCACCACCGCACCCGACCACTATCTATTTAGGGCGAGTACGCGGGCCTGCTGTGCATCAAGAAGTACCACGAGACCCGCGGGGAGAACCAGCGCGACGTCTGCATCATCCCCACCTCCGCCCACGGCACCAACCCCGCCACCGCCGTCATGGCCGGCACGTGCTCCCACCCACCCCCCATCACAAGCAACCTCCTGCCATCCGCGCATTTGCTGATGATGGATGCATGCATGCATGGATGGATTGGATGGATGGATGGATGTGGGTGCCTCGCGCAGGCATGAAGGTGGTGATCGTGCCGTGCGATAAGGACGGCAACATCGACGTAGCCGAGCTCCGCAAGAAGGCCGAGGAGGTGAGACCACCCACCACCAGCCACCACCAGCCACCACCACCCCCCCTCCCAACGTTCCAGTTCTCACCACCACGCTGCTTCCACTGCGTGCACACACACGACACACACGACACACACGACACACACGACACACACGACACACACGACACACACGACACACACACACGACACACCCACACACGCACACACACGACACACGATGTATGCGTGAGAGTAGCACAAGGACAAGCTGGCCGCGTTGATGGTCACCTACCCGTCCACCCACGGCGTGTTCGAGGAGTCGATCGTGGACATCTGCAACGTCATCCACGCCAACGGCGGCCTCGTCTACATGGACGGCGCCAACATGAACGCCCAGGTGGGGCTCACGTCGCCGGGCAACATCGGCGCTGACGTGTGCCACCTCAACCTCCACAAGTGCGTCCTCCCCCCCCAAGTAGTGGGCGGTGGGTGGTGGTTGGTGGGTGGTCTCGCGCAACAGCCCACTCAACTCACCCGCCCGTGCCCCGCCGCAGGACCTTCTGCATCCCGCACGGTGGCGGCGGCCCCGGCGTGGGCGCCATCGGTGTGGCCAAGCACCTCACCCCGCACCTGCCCAACAGCCCGCTCGTGCCTGTGGTATGCCCCCCCCCAATACAGCTCTCTCGCCGTGTGTGTAGTGTGTGCCGTGCGTGCCGCCATCAAGAGGCTAAATGGGCGCACACCACGCACAGGGAGGACCCAAGTCGATCGGTGCCATTTCGGCGGCCCCCTACGGCAGCAGCGCCATCCTGCCCATCCCCTACGTCTACATCAAGCTCATGGGCGCACAGGGACTCCGCAAGGCCACCGAGGTTCGCATCCCCCCACCCCTCACCCCCCACCACCGCGTCTTGGCTTGCGGCCTTTCTGCTCGAGCGCCCGCTTGGCTTTGCGTTGGCTCACATCGCCGCCGCCGCCTCCTCCCCCCCGCGCGTGCGTGCGTGTGCTCTCCAGGTGGCGATCCTGAACGCGAACTACATGGCGGCCAAGCTCAAGGACCACTACCCCATCGTGTACATGGGCAAGCAGGGCATGGTACGCTGCGATGCCACGCGCGCACGACCTCTACACCACCGCCTTTATATATTATATTATATATGGACTCAAGGTCGCGGCTGCTCATCTTGTTCGTCCGAAAAACCAGGTGGCGCACGAGTTCATCCTGGACATCCGACCGTTCAAGGCCGCCACCGGCGTCGAGGCCGAGGACGTCGCCAAGCGTCTCATGGACTACGGGTTCGCCTTTTTTTTTTGGTGCCACGCCACGTCGCGAATACACCCAAATCACTGACGGTGTGTGTGTGTGTGTGTGCGTGCGTGCGTGCGTGCGTGCGTGCGTGCGTGCGTGCGTGCGTGCACCTAGTTTCCACGCCCCCACACTGTCGTTCCCGATTGCGGGCACGTTGATGATCGAGCCCACCGAGAGCGAGTCCAAGGAGGAGCTCGACCGGTTCGTGACGGCGCTCATCAAGATCCGGGAGGAGATCAAGGAGATCGAGGAGGGCAAGCTGCCCCGCGACAACAACCCCCTCCACCACGCCCCCCACACCCAGAAGGTGCGGCACCATGTCCCCGCCCTGCCCCCCCCCGCAACTCGACCACCAAAGCTGACCCCCCGAGCCATGGTCGTGTGTGTCGTGTGTGTCGTGCCACCAGGTTGTGTGCGGTGAGACGTGGGAGCGCCCCTACACGCGGGAGCGCGCCGCCTTCCCGGCGCCCTGGACCAAGGTCCACAAGCACTGGCCCGCCGTGTCCCGCATCGACAACGCCTACGGCGACCGCAACCTCATCTGCACCTGCCCCTCCCCCGAGGCCTACGCGGAGCACCAGTGAGGTGTTCTTTTGTGCCACAACACCATTACTGCGTGTGATGACATCTTTTTCTGTGGGTGAAGCTGACAGTTGCGCAAAGCACCGTGCACTGGGATCAAAAGTGCAACAAATAAAACAGGTAATGTTGTCCACTGTAGTTGTCTGAACCATGTATGGGCCACCCAGCTACCAACATGTTGAGGAAGCACCTACAGCTCTCCCTCTGTTCAATGTCAAGTACAAGCTCAACTATCAGGTGCAGTTCATGGGACCTGTTGAAATGAGATTAAGGCCTGGTGAAAAGTGAATAAGAGCATTGTTTCATTGTTGGGGGAGAATTTGCCAACCAAGGGACAGGAGAACACCATCCCAGAAACTCATCACCCAACCACACGGGCGATATCAATGTGAAACTGCCTTTTACAGGGACTTTTTTCTGGGAGTGTGCCATCGCTATTCAGCCTCGCTGCCTTCCTTTGGGTCATCCCGAAACCCATAGTTGCCGTACAACAGGTACAACTCCGGCCACGACAGCTTCGCCAGAGGTCCCGTAGTCACTAGCGCAGTCACCCCCACCTCGGCATGACCAGACTTCGCTGCTCACCGACGAGGACAGCGCCAGCTCGCAGTCCAAGAGCAGCGACGGCTCTTCTTCGTCGACGAATGGTAAGAAGAGGCGCGACAGGGAGCACCACTCCAAGGAGCGCGAGCTGCCGTGGTCACGGTGAGGCCCAAGAAGGCGCTCATGGCCAAGGCCAAGTGCGCCGACTCCAACGCCGCGTTCAAGTCCACCGACGCGCCGCCCGTGGAGAAGCGCATGCTCATGGCCAGCGCCAGCGCTGACTTTGACAACGACTGGAAGGACGAGACCATCACCCTCTTCGGCTACCAGGGCGGCCCCCTCTACGCGGCCTGCACCTACATCGCGGCCAACCGGCGGCCGTCTACAAGAACTTCACCATCGGCGGCTCGCCCATCGTGCTCGGGGGCCAGATCGAGATGCAGACCGGCGACTTTGACAAAGGCGGCTATCCGGAGCTGGTCTTTGGCTGCATCGACGGCACCACGGGCGCGCTGCAGGTCTTCCTGTGGGACCTCGCCATCGACGACGAGAGGATCTGGGGCACCGGCAACAACAAGCTCAGCCGCACCAACCTCCAGGCCTGCGGCTGCTTCGACCGCGCCGCCATCATGCGCAACCTCTTCGACGCCGCCACGCCCCTGCCCATCCCCCGGAAGCCCATCCTTCCCGGTCGAGCGAGCTGGCGCTGGGCGTGGCCGATGACGGCGAGGTGCGGGTGTACTTGTACGCCATCGACCAGACCGAGGACGAGTTCCCGATGAAGCATACCAAGGTCCTCACCGCCTACCCGGCCTCGAGCCCGGCCCTGTGGGGCGCCGACCTGGCCTTTGCGCAGCGGATCAACCTGCGCATGGTCTCCGGCGACCTGGACGACGACGGCGACGCCGAGGTGGTGCTGGCCTTCACCACCGACCAGATGGCCCGGCACCGGCACCAAGTGCGCCGCCTGGACTGCATGGAGCTCTTCGGCCGCTTCGAGTACGAGCTGCCGCTGGGTCTCGTCGACACGAGCGCCGCGCCGACGAGGAGCCGTGAGCTGCGGATGGCGATCGGCACGATACCTACGCCAACGAGCTGCTGGTGGCCGTCGAGTACACGTCGACGGCCGACCCGGCGGTGAACAAGGTGATGCTCACCAGCCTCACGGCGCAGCCCAACGTGGACGACCCGTTCGCGGTGAACGGCCGCCACTGCTACCGCGGGCCGCACTACCAGGAGGGCGAGGAGCTGGACACGCCCACCCTCAACAACATGGCCCTCACCGTGGGCAACCTCTACGGCCTCAGCTTCCGCGTGGGCGAGCCCAGCACGGTGCGCTTAGAGGGCGTGCCGGAGCTGGTCGCAGTGCTCAATGCGCCGCCCACGCACTACAACCTGTTCGACGGGGCCGACATGATCGTCAACCCGGGCACCTTCCACGGGGCGGGCTCCTTCTCGCAGCTGTCCAACATCGAGGGCGTCGTGTCGTCGTTCGATATCACGCGCGAGACGGCCAGCGCCGAGACCAACGCGCACGGGTTCCAGCTCAACGCCAAGATCGCCGTCGTGTTCGGCAACGTCTTTCTTTCTTTTTCTCTTTCTTTCTTTCTCTTTCTCTTTGGTTGGCGTGTAACGTGTTGATCAACATGCTAATGTACACCCTAATATATATATTAGGGTGGACGACGTTCAAGAGGGACCGCACGATGCTGACAAAGCAGGTGGTGGCGTCGCCGCGGTTCCCCAAGCTGGGGGAGGTGGTGCAGCTGACGGTGAGGGTGCCCAACAAGGCCATGGTGCAGGCCTCCGACGTGAGCGTGTCGCTGTGGCACGGCAGCCCCGACAACTGCCTGGACCTGACGTGCTTCTTCCCGGGCCGCACGCTCATCGGGGCGACGCGGGTCAACATCATCCAGGCGCAGGGCCAGCGCAACGTGTCATTCCTGTTCAAGTTCGACGGCACCAACAACATCCACGCGACGATTGACGACGACGAGATCGACGAGACGCACGAGGACAACAACCTCGGCTACGGCCTCGAGTTCCACAACCTGCGCGACAACGGCTACACGCTCCAGAACGTGGCGCTGGACAAGACGGTGGGCGTCAAGGCCGTCAAGGGCGGCACCGGCAACAGGTGGACGCAGGGCTACGACGTGTCGGTCACGGTGCTGGGCGACACCTTCACGCGCCAGAATGTGCTCGTGCAGCTGTGGCACGTCGCCGTGGGCGGCTCCGGGCGGCTCATCTCGACCATCACCGTGCCGCGCATCCGCGGCTCCGTGATCAGCACCACTCGCTACACGCTCTCGGCCTACTGGGACACCCGCAACACGACCCTCTACGGCCAGCAGGAGCTCCACGCCGTCATCCTCCACTCGGGCTTCGACACGTCGCCCGACAACATCATCTCGCACGTCGTCCAGACCGTCAACGTGGCCTGCTTCGGCGAGGTCGACGTGTGCGGCGTGTGCGGCGGCGACAACAGCCTCTGCGCCGGCTGCGACGGCGTGCCCCTCTCCGGCAAGACCGTCGACATCTGCGGCAAGTGCGGCGGCGATGGGTCCACCTGCTGCGTGCGCCGCCCGTTGCAGGCCAGCGTCCATTACGTGCGCCTGGGCGACGACGCCTCGAGCAAGACCCGCCGGGTCAAGGTGGGCGACATGGTCGTGTGGGAGAACATGCTCGACTGGACCGTCAAGATCACCGGCGTCGTCTACGACTACTTGGGCGCGCCCACCTTCGAGCTCGAGACCCTCAAGAACCGCGGCTTCAACATCCACGGCGAGGTGCCCCCGATGACCCTCGATGACGACACCGTCAACGCCTACGTCCAAAAGTACATGACCTCCATGCTCGTCATGAAGGACCACACCGAGCTCCTCCTCCTCGTCCATGCCCGCGGCCACGGCCGACTACTTCGTCATCGCCGACGACGACGACATGCTCGGCCTTTCCCGTTTCCCCGGCTGGTGCGCTTTCTTTCTGATCTCTTACGATGATGATGCCGATGACGATGACGATGACGATGCCAATGACGATGACGATGATCTTCTTACAACTAACCATCATCAGCACTACACTCACCCACCTAGGCGCGTGGACGAACCGATGCGCCGCGTATCGGAGGCGCGCCTTCGTGGCCTGCGCCAGGCACGCCAGGAGAGGCGCCGCAGCGAGAGCCACTACGTTGGCGGCGATGACGACGACGAGGAGGAGCTGGTGGAGGACTTTGTCATGAACGGCATCTGCTGCGCCGGAACACGACGACCACCAGGAGGATTTCGAATTATCGACCGACCAATCGGCGCGGCGCCTGAGTGAGTGCGAGACGCGCCCCGCCAGGCCATCCTCGAGGAGCAGAGGCGCCACGCGGCGGCCCAGCAGCTGCTTAAGAACCACCGCCGCAGCAGCAATGCCAAGAACCGCGGCAAGGCGCTGCTCGGCTCAACACCGGCGGGGGCGCAGCTGCAGCCGGCGTTCTCCCTGCGCAAGCTCGCACTGTCGATGCTGGATTCGCGCAAGCGGCAGCTGGACCACCTCAGCGCGCTGCTCGCCGAAGAGGCAGCCAATTCGACCGTTGCTTCCGAGGTGCAGCAGACCGCGGCCCAGCGCAAGCGGGAGCTGCTATCCTACTACGAGGACTACCAGCAGCAGGACGACCATGACGACGACCACGACGACGACGACGGCGGATAGGCCGCGCTCCGGGCCTCTACGTGTGGCACGACTCCAACAACCCGGCCCTCCACGGCACCATCATCGTCGACCCGTCCGACCCAGAAGGACGCGTGCGGCGTGTGCGGCGGCAACGGCCTCTCGTGCCTCGATTGCAAGGGCACCCCGCGCGGCCGTGCGCGCCGCGACGCGTGCAACGTGTGCTATGACCCGTTCGTCGACGCCTACGACCCGGAGAAGGCCAAGGACTGCGCCGGCGTGTGCAACGGCACCGCCACCATCGACGAGTGCGGCTTCTGCACGGGCGGCTCCACCGGCCGCGTCGCGGGCTTCGCCAAGGACTGCATGGGCATATGTAACGGCTCCACCCCAGTTCTGCGGCCAATGCGGCGCCAACCGCGACACACACGCCTACCTGACCGACTGCGCCGGCGAGTGCGGCGGCCCGCGCGTGCTCAACCCGTGCGGCCACTGCATCGGCGGCAACACTGGCCTCGACGTCTCCCACGGCATGGACTGCGCGGCACCTGCAACGGCAACGCCGTGCGCGACTGCACCGGCGTGTGCCTGGGCACCGCCAAGGTCGACTGCGCCGGCGTGTGCGGCGGCACGGCCCGGATCAACGAATGCCTGCGCTGCGTCGGCGGCACCTCCGGACTCGACGTATGCCATTCCTTCCTTCAGTCAGTCATTTAGTCATTCGTTCATTCATTCATTCATTCATTAGCATTCGCTCCCTATGCATTGTCGGCCCTCTAACACACCACATGTGTCGTGTGTGTCGTGTGTGTCGTGTGTGTCGTGTGTGTCATGTGTGTCATGTGTGTCGTGTGAGTAGAGTCCAATGTCAACGACTTGCGCGGGCGTGTGCGCCATCAGGGAGAGCGAGGTGTGCGGCTTCAACAACGGCACGACTCCCAAGCGGTTCGACCAGGACGAGACAAGTGGCACGGCCGCGATGGCGGCGGCCGAGCGGCAGGCCACCTCGTGCGGCGGAGTCGTGGACAAGTGGGGCACCTGCTGCGCGGCGAACGAGCTGGACTGCGCCAGCCTGTGCTTCGGCAGCGCGACCGTGGAGTGCGGCGTGTGCGTGGGCGGCTCGTCCGGGAGGGACGTGAACGAGTTCAAGGACTGCCTGGGCGCGTGCAACGGCACCGCGCGCTACAACCCGTGCGGTGTGTGCGTCACGCCCGAGGCCTACTACAACGGCAGCGGCTACACGGTCGACTGCAACAACGTCTGCAAGGGCTCGGCCCACGTCGACGACTGCGGCAAGTGCGTCGAGGGCACCACCGGCGTTGTGCCCAATGCCGACAAGGACTGCCAGGCGCGGTGCTTCGGCAACGCGACGCGGGACGACTGCAGCGCGTGCTACGTCCCAGGCGACGGCTTCGTGCCCAACTCGTGGCAGAACTGCGCCAGCGTGTGCAACGGCACCGCCGTGCTGGCCGATTGCGAGGTGTGGGTCGGCGGCAGAAGTACTGGCCGGCGCAGTCCCTGTCGGCGTTGAACTCGCGCCTGGTGCCAGCACGTCATCACCGACCCGGCGTGCTCGTGCCCGGCGGGTCAGCTGGACCAGTGCTACGAGTGCGGCGGCAACAACACGCAGTGCGCGGGCTGCGACGCGTCCCGTGGTCGGATACCAAACGCGACTTGTGCGGCGTGTGCGGCGGCAACAACACGCAGTGCTGCTTCCTGCCCTTCGCGCAGACGGCGGCGACGATCAAGGACTTTGAGGTCATCATCCTGCGAGACACGCTCGAGACGGGCGAGAGGCTGGCCATCACCAACCTGCAGGCGGGCCACCTACACGCTCATCATGTACCGCCTCGACGTGCCGGCCGACGTCGCCCGCGTGAAGCAGATCCAGACGCGCTGGGACTACGCCGCGCTCCGGCCGGGCAACACCCTCGAGATCGTCATCCAGGAGCCCGGCCTCTACCGCGTCACCTCGGTCGAGAGCCTCCTTCAGCGGCCCGCAGCCCGTGCCGGACGTGCTGCTGGAGCGCGGCACGACCACCTCGACGCCGCCCTTGCTCAAGCCGGGCACCTACCAACTGCTCTCCAACAAGAACCTCGTCAACACCACCTTCACCGTCGAGTTCGATTTCTCCTGCTCGGTCTTCCCCGAGGAGCCGTCTGACGACCACCATCACACACACAACCACACCCCACCACCATAACTTTAAAATTTGGGAGGTGCACCATCACACACACAACACACACACACACACACAACTCACACACACACACACACACCCACAGGCGGCCGATGGCCTTCCCCAATTTTTGGGAGGGGTCCCCTCTGGGGATGGGGTGTGGGTGCCGTGTTGTGGATGTGTGTGTTGCTGTGCGTTGCTGTGTGTGTGTGGGTCGCTCGAGGAGCATGACTTACAGGGGCACGTAGGCGTCGGTGAAGAAGCGCTCGAACAGGTCCCTCTCCACGGCAGCCTCCTTCGCGTTGTGCTGAAGCGCCTGTTGCGGGAGGGGGGCATGCATTGGGGGGGGGATCACCACCTTGTGGGCGCCAGATACAGGAAATGCGCGGATTCCCCATTCTCGGGGAGGTGGAGCAGTACCGTCTGCTTCATCTTGTAGTCCCCGGCCACCCCGTCCACAGCGATCTGCAGCTCGTGGAGGGCCGCCTCGAGCTTATCGACGCCATGCCGCATCGCCTGGCGGATGTGCACCACCACCACCACCACCACCACCACCACCACCCACCCACCCACCACCAGCCACCCACCACCACCACCGCCATACATACACAAACATAAGAGATGATCAGCACAACAACAACGGACGGCGACAAGGAAGCGGGGAATCAAAACGCGGCACTGAAGAGAGAGAAAGAGATGGAGCAGTAGTGGTACGGGCGACGTGAGCTGCACGTGGTCTTGGGCTCCAGGGGGGCACGCGAGAGCGCATATCTGGTTGGCCTGCTGCTCCCTGCACGGGTGTGGATTTTTTTTAAAAAAAATGGTTGCGTAAGTCAGCACAGAGTCAGTGGCACGCACCTCTCAAGCAGCAGCATCAGCCATGGGTTGGGGGGGGCAGCCAATGCTCGACCTCTCCGCGCGGGGGGGGGACGCTGCAGGCCACACGTACGCTTCTGCGAGAGTCCTCTCCTGAGCCGTGCGCAGCGCGTGCATCACAGCATGCGCGGCAGACAGCCGCTGTACCAGGACGTGCGCCGATTCCACCAGAGCCGCGTCGCTACCACCACAAATAGCGGTAGTGCTGCTGCTGCTGGTGGTGGTGGACGACTCGCCCGCGTGTGGGGACGGCCAAGGGGCGGTGCTGCCGTTTGTTAGCAACTGGTCCACGCGCGCCATGGTGGGATCGACACCAGCCGCCCCTGAGAGAGCACCCGGCGTGCGCGAGACGAAGCCCTGGATAACGAGAGAGAGAGAGAGAGGCGAGAGAGAGCGACGTGTTGCACCATATGGCCGGAGCGTTAAGAAAAATAACTTGCCCCGGATCGATTACGTGGGTAGGCGGGTGGGTGGGTGGGTGGGTAGGTGGGTGGGTACCAAGGTGCGTTGGAGTGCGGCAGCATGATCAGTGAGTTCGCTCAGGAGGGACGACATGAGGCCGTACAGCTGGCGCTGTCTCTCGCGCTCCTGCTGCATGGCCGCGTGCAGCAGCTTGTGCCGCGCCTCTTGGCCCACGAGCACGGTGGCGGCCTACGACGACGCCGATGGTCATCGAGGTGCACAGGCGTTAGCATAGCGAGGCTGCCGCGATAAACAGCCAATTTCTCGAAAGCAAACTCAAAGCGCAGAATCAAACCAATCACGCACCCGATCCAGCACGTGGCTGCGCTTGCCTTGTCGCTCGAGCTTGGCGTCGTAGTCGGCGTGCAGGACGGGCAGCACTCTCAATGCCGAGAGCGCGTTCCAGAGCTGGGGCAGGGTCTTCTGCTTGTGGCGAGCGATGGTCTCGTCCATCTTGGCCAGCGCCCCTTCGACCTCCGCTATTCGCTGTCTGCTCGCCCAAACGCAACCCGAACCCGACCGCATGCGTCAAAAGAGAGACCACGGACGACGGATTAAACGGTTTTCGGTCACGCGTTCGCGGGGCGTACTTGACGGCAAGGTCGGACATGTCGGCATAGCGCGACGCGCCGAACGTCTGCAACGCCGAAAAGGAGCCTCTGGCCCGGCTCAGCTCCATCAGGGCCTCCACGTACTTGCTTTCGCCGAGAGGGAAACTGAAGTTGCCGGCAGAGAGAGAGAGAGAGGTTAGAAGGGGAGGACCCCAGCAGGAGAGAAAGAGAGAGACAGAGAGAGGGACCCAACGTGGGGAGGGACACGTGCATTCTCTTGAGTCGTTGGACTTCGGGGTTGAAGTCCTCGTGCGACAAATAGCGCGTGCGTTCTGTTTCAGAAGCCGGGGAGGAGCTGCCACGCGGACGGTTGAGAGCTCGCAAATGCCCGCGGAGCTGGTCCGTGCGCGCCCGTCGAGGTCAGCCAGGCGCATAGAGGTGTATGCATACACACGCGCGCGCCCGCGTTGATGGGCAGAAAAGATGTGGGGGTTCTACCTTGCTGGCGAGGCTCTTTTCGAGCGCCACGTACTCGTCGAGGGCGATCGCATGCAGCGGGGTGAAGGGCAGGGAGCAGGTCCCGACAGCGTAGGCCGTAGGTTGCGGTGTAGAAGCCCGCACGTTTTCTTTGCCGCATTCGCCCTCGTCGAGCTGCCCCTCGAGACCGAGGAACAGCGGCTCCACGACATTCGCCAGCTCTGTCAACGCGCTCCCCATCTTTACCGAGACGCAGGCAGCACGGTGTGCCGCACAATGGCAGTGAGTGTCATGCACACGCGCACACACGCACACACGCGCGCGCGGCGGCTGCTCGTCTCAGGTCAGAAGAGTTGAAGTACTTCGTCATACTCCTTCGCCAGCTGTTTCTCCACCTTGAGTACGTGGTCTCGATGTTCTTGCTCTTCGGTCACGAGGGCCGCCGTTTGTCGCTGGCAGCCAGACGAGAGCGTGTGGAGCTTGTCGCGCTTGGACTCCAGGGCACTGAGCCGGTTCTGGAGGCGTTGCACCTCGGCTTCCATGGCATCCACCTCGCCCCTGCAATGCCCTCCTGGGTATGTAAGGACCATGCGCGAAAATGTGTCGGCTAGCGCTGGTCTTCAAGAAGGTGCAAGTACCGCAGCAGTTCGGCTTCGCTCTCCTGCTCTGCATCATCGTCTAGACGGTCCAGTCGAAGTAGTGCCTCTTCCAACTCGGCTCCCTGGGAGAAAACTCTTGAGCCCCTACACTGTCGGACAAAGGTGCAGGAGGAGAGGAGGCACCGTTTTGTAGTCCTTTGGCGGAATGCCTCGACAGCTGCAGCGTGAAAAGTCGACGGTGAGTGAGGCGGAGAGTTACTATTTCAACTAAATCATTATAACAATAATAATAAAAGAGGATTGCATCGTACTGAGACACTTCGTCGCTCGACAAAACATTCTTGCTGCTACTTATGGAGCTTGCGAGAAACTTGAGAAAGGGCCGGGTGGAGGGGTAGTCGAACAGCCACTCGAAATCCTGAGCACGGGCTGTGGAGCTATAACCAATCTCTTTGAGAAACATGGCAAAATCGAGGGCATTCTTCTTTTTGTTGAGACTCTCCATCCTGGTCCGCTTCCACTCCTGATTTCTGCTTGTTTGTTTTTCGCAGAGGTTTTTGGCGCCAACACTTTGGCGCCATTTCCCGCCACCTTAAATAAGTGACGGAGGCGGGACCTTGCGCCAAGGCCTCTTCTTTCTTCTTTGTTACGCTCCACTGCCCGGACCTCCCCAATCTTTTCAACTCCTCCCTTCGCCATGTCCTGAAGTTTCGCCCGTCGGCCACCTTGGCCAGCAATTCACAGACCTAGGTACCTAAAACTCACATCTCCCAAGATGAACAACCGGCACAAGGATGTAACACTGAAGTGGGAATCTCACTGAATCACTGTGATCGATACTCATTACTTCTATCTGAGGACCCTCCTTTTCCTCCGCTTTTTTACAGTCTTTTTTGATTTAGCTGACACTATCGTTTGCGTCAGGTGTAGGTCATTTGCGGACTGATGTGAGCTTGGTGGTTACCCGCGCCGCTGCGCTCCCAGTTGTCGCACTGCGTCCATCACGCCCTGATGGCCCGCCTGGCAGGCTCGACCGCCCAAGATCTTAATTCGGATTAATGCCTGCAAAAAAAGTAAATAAAACCTGTGAAAAACAAAAGAACACAAAGCAAAGCAAACCAAGCTCGTGCGATGAGCGCCACGGCTACTTACCCATCTGCTGCTGCTGCTGCTGCTGCGTCTGTGGCCACCTTCGTGGAGGGGTTCCACGACCCGGACACGTTCCTGCCATCGTGCTTCTTCCGAGAGCTGGGCCGCACTGGCCTTCGTGTACGCCCCCTTCCTCCCTTTTGTGGCGGGGCTGCACCTGGAAGCCGGCACTCAGTGAGAGTGTGTGTTGTGTGTGTGCATGTGCGCGTGTCTCCTCGGGCGCAGGCGTCGGCGCTCTCGGTGGGGGGCACGAGCTTCGGGGCTCTCTACGGCGCAGTCGACGAGGAAGAGGCTCGTCTGGTGCTGCACACCCTGCTCAAGCGCGGCGTGAACCTCATCGATACGGCGCCCTGGTACGGCCAGGGCAAGTCCGAAGAGTGCGCCCCCCACCCCCACTAGTCCCCTCTTCCCTCGCCATCGACCATGGGGCCGGCCAACCAAACCAACACGTGAGGATGATGATGATGTCGCTGGTGGTTCTTGCTGGTGGCGGCTGGCGGCAGGCGGCTGGGCCGGTTGCTAAGTGGGATTCCGCGGGAGGCCTACTACATCACCACCAAGGTAGGCGCCTTGCCCTACCCCGGCCACTATACTGTATCAACGAAGTGCCGCGTTTTGGTGGAGTCGCACATGCGTACGTACGTACGTGCGGTCGTCGTGGTGGTCGTGGTGGTCGTGGTCGTGGTCGTGGTGGTCGTGGACGTGGTGGTGGTCGGGGAGCAGGTGGGCCGCTACGAGCTGGAGGCCGCCAAGATGTTCGACTTTTCGTACGAGCGCACGCTGCGCTCGGTGGAGGACAGTCTGCGCCTGCTCCAGGTCGACTATGTGGACGTCATCCAGGTTCACGACCTGGAGTTTGCGCCCTCGCTCGACGTCATCATCCGGGAGACCCTGCCCGCGCTCCACCAGATCAGGGCCAGCGGCAAGGCCCGCTTCATCGGCATCACCGGCTACCCGCTCGACAAACTCAAGTACCCCACCCACCCCACTCCCCTCTCCCTTCCACGGGCTTCTTTTCTCCCGTTGTGGGCGGTGTGCGGAGCAGAGTCGGTTCACTGATGGTCCGCTCGCCGCGTCGTTTGGTTGGTTGGTTGGTTGGTGTGGGGGGGGGGTGTATCAAGGGAGGTGATCGAGCGTAACGCCGTGGCCAACCCGCACATCCAGATCGACACGGTCCTGTCCTACTCGCGCTGCACCCTGCACGACACCACCCTCCTCGCCTACCTCCCCTACTTCCACGAGCGGGGCGTCGGTACGCTCCTCTCCTCCCCCCCACCGCCACATGTGGCGCTGTATAAATGAATGGTCCTCCTCCTCCTCGTGCTGTTGTTGTTGTTTGGCCCCCACACGCGTGGTTATCCTCCTCTTGCCTCCCAAGGGGTGATCAACGCGGCGCCCGTGTCGATGGGTCTGCTCACCGACGCCGGCCCGCCGGCGTGGCATCCGGCCTCCGATGGCCTCAAGCGGGCGTGCAGGGAGGCGGCCGAGTACTGCCGCGCCAAGGGCGTGAGCATCAGCAAGCTCGCCCTCCACTTTGCTTTCGCCCGCGACGAGGTGCGCGTGCTACACCTCTCTCTCCCCTTCTTCACTGGCCTCCGCTCTCCTTTCTTTCAGCTCTCGGTCGAGTGTTTGCCAACCGTGTGCAACCGATGGTGGTGGCTGGTGGTGGCTGGTGGTGGTGGTGGTGGCTGGTGGTGGTGGTGGTGGTGGCTGGTGGTGGTGGTGGTGGTGGTTAGGTGACCACCACCCTCGTGGGCACGGTGCGCAGGCCGGAGATGGAGCAGAATCTCAACGTCCTCCTCAACGGCCTCTCCGAGGCACGTGCACCTCTCACCCCCAACCCCTCCCTTCTCTTTCACACTCATACGCGCAGCAGCTGATTGCGTTCGGTGCTGTACGTATGTGTGGCGCACCGTTGGTGCCCCCCCCCCAAACCACACCAGGCGGAGCAGGAGTGCCTGGTGGCCGTGCGGGAGCAGTTCTTCGAGCCCCTGGGCAATGCCCACTGGGAGGGCTCCGAGGTGAGCAAGCACCACCGCAAGCTCTCGGCCGAGCAGCAGCAGGTGGCGAGCTCGTGACTATCCCCCCTCCCCCACGCACGGGTTTGCGGGTGCTTTTCTTTTGGCATGATAAATAATTATATATTTGATACGCTACGTATGTTGGAGGGGGACGAGTGTGAATGTACATAATGTCGCAGGTCTGCCGAGCCATCTGGACAGGGCAGGCCGTGCAATAAATATGGAGAGGGTGAACCTCTCTCTCTCTCTCTTCTCTCGACCTCTAGAGGTAGAGAGCAAAGGAGGCGTGGTCGAGGTGGTGGTCCGCGTAGAGAGGCGAGGGCTCCTGAGCGAGAAGGGTCGTGTAGGGTCCCGCGGCCACCTGGCGGTGATGGTGGCGATGGTGGTGGCCCATCGTGGCCGCCGGCATGTAGGCCGAGAGTCCGGGCTGCTGCGGCGGCTGCGGCCACGAGGTGTTGTCCTGGCGGGCCGCGACACCGTAGGCGCCGGCGGGCTGCACGGACTCGAAGCTCGCGTACCCGCGGTACGGCGGCTGCTGCTGCTGCTGCTGCTGCTGCGCGTAGTCGTGAGGGTCCTGATGGTGGTGGTCGTGGTCGTGGGGCGTCGTCTGGGCCAGCTCGGTGGAGGGGGAGGAAGGGGCCGGTGATGAGGCAAACGACGAAGACGGCGAGGGCGAATCGAAGGAGGGCAGCAGGGACGCCAGGTAGTGGCCGCCGCCGCCGTCCAGGCTGCTGGCGTAGTGGTGGTGGTGGTGGTGGTCCGGCTGGCCGACGCCGGCGCCTCCCTCCACGGCCGCGTAGTAGTGCGACTGGTGCAGGGGAGGCGAGGCGCGAGGAGGAAGCAGCCGCGGCTGTTGCTGCTTTGGGTGGTGGTGGTGGTGGGGGTGGTCCGGCTGGGCACGGGCGGCTGCGGCAGGGTGTGACGCCGGTGGTGGCTGCTGGGGAGCCCCCGAGGCCTGGAGGGCGGCGAGGTAGAGGTTGACGCGTTCGAGCCAGCGCGCGCGGGAGGCCTTGGCGGGGTCGACGGGCTTCAAGCGGTCGTAGCACTGCTCGACCTTGCCGCGCGGACCCTTGCGAATGGTCTTGATCTCGGGGAAGGCCCGCTTGACCAGCTTGCCGAAGAACGTGGAGCTGATGCTGCTGTCGGCGCCCCGCTCCGCGCACAGGGCCTGGTAGTGGGCGAACACGGCGGCCTTCTTCGAGTAGCCATGCTTGCCCAACTTGTAGTGCTCCCGCAGCCTGTGTGTGTGTGCGCGCCACAACGTGAGCCAAGAGGAGAGGAGAAATGTACGAGTTCTAGAACTCGTCGTCTTCACGCAAAGTCAGCACCGTGACTTGTTGGGAAGGAGGCCCAAAGAACGAACCAGGCGATGACGGTGGCGGGCGTGACGGCCTTGGCTGCCCGGACTTGGCCTTGGCTGGTCGAGCTCGGGCTGGCTCCCGCGGGAGGACTAAGCTGCGGCGACGAGGGCGTGGCAGAAGAAGAGGTGGGCTCGCGGCCGGTGAGCTTGTTGCTGTGCTCGAACTGGTTGTAGGTCGGCGGTGTGGAGCTGTGGAGCTGCATGGTGGTGACGGTGGGAGGTGTTTGTTGACGCAAGCCAAAAATAAAATGGCTAGCGTTGGCGGCCTCGCTTTGTCTCCGACTGCTGCCTCTCCCGACAGGCGGAACGGCGACCAATGGCCAACCGTGTGCTGAACACAAAACAGGCTAAAATCGGAAATTTAGTTGACTGCCAATGGGGAGAGCTGAACAGTAATGAAAAGAGCCACGTGTCGCGCAGTCGAGGCTACGCCATAGAGATCGACTGCCTAAGAAGGAGCACCATCGCTTTTGCGTCAGTTTTCCGTCCGGTGTTATGCCGCGGCTTCTTGCGGTTCGCCGAACTTCATTTTGCCGCGGACCTTTTGTGCTCACCAGACATTTCGCACAGCCAAACAAAACTAACACATGCACAAATCCATTTTCATTTAAATGATTTTTTTAATGCCTGTGGAGGTTGAGATGGAGGAGTGGGGTGAAGGTTGAGAAGAAGTTGAGGTACTGGATGAGGTGAGTTGATGTGCTGCAGTCTGGGCTGCTGAAATCCAGGATGTGATGTTGGTTGGGTTGGAGTGAATGATGATGCTGTTGTGATGATGTTGGTCTTGGATTCTTTTGGTTGCACAGAAGCTCTATTGATGTGGTAGCTGAAGTTGAGATGGAAGCAGGCATGAAGTGGAGTAGCATGAAGTGGAGTGTAGTTGAGGACACTTTGTGCTTTGGTGATAGTTGAAGACATGACTTATTGTTGGTTGGAAAGCAGGTCAGAAGAGCATGTGCCACCAAGTCAGATGAACAAAATACATACTCAGTTGATGCACTTGAGGAGCAATGTGGACCCACTTTGGGTCTCCTGTTGAAGCCTCTCTTGCAACTCTGGGATAACATCTTTGATGTTGATGTGTGGATTGCTGAGGATCAGAAGAAGTTTGTCTTGTCACAGGTGATGTGATGATCCTAAGATGAGGAAAGCAAGCAATTAGATTAGCATATAATGACTGCAACTCATTGTGAATGTGATGTGATAAAAATAATGGAGCATAAATTGACTACATTCATTGCATATGTGTATGCCTTTCAAGAACTATTGAAAAGGAGAACATACCCACTCTCCAGTTACCACATTGTTCTTGAGGTGGATAAAGTCCCTGTCTGTGAGGTGTGTGGCCACCTTTCTGGCCTGCTCAGGAACTGTACATGTCTCTGGCAGGCAATGAGGAGCTCAGTGAAGGATGGAAGAGAGTACAGTCAGCACAATGGGATAATTATAAGAAATACTGGTGGGGAGCATACCATTCTTGCTTATCTTGTACTTGTTGCCTGCCTGGATCTGCTTGTACTGGAGGAACGTCCTGCAGTTGTGGTGCATAATTGGCTTCACAAACAAAAGCATACCTCCTTCAGGAGCTTCCACAGTTCCTTGTTGTTGGCCATACACAACAACAAAAACTGTAAAACCATTTCAAAACAACTCATGCATTTCCCGCCAGGGAAGAATGAAAATGAAGGAAAGAGAGAAATGATAATAGTTGGTTCTCGCCTTGTGGTGGGCCACCCCAAAGAAAACACCATGTGGCGCGCCAAGGCAAGTTCCTGGCTTTGCGCTGGTGGGGTACGGTGCGTGGCCTTGACCTCAGGCATTGCTGCTGGGGGGTCCTTGTCATTGCTTAGAGGAGCCCCTGGTGCTGCCGGTCGTCTCCGGAGCTCCGCACCGCTACTTGGGAGGCCGGCGCACACGGCTGCTGCTGCTACGGCTCCTTTGCCCAAGGAGGGTGGTGCGCGGTGGGGTCGGGTGCTGGCCGTCACTGCGACTGCAGCTGTAGTGGGCGGGTGGTCGTGGGGGCACCACCGCCCCAATCATGATGATGATGATGATGATGGGGTCCAGCTGCCGGCCTACGTCGACCGTGCCACAAGATTTACGCGTGCCGCCGCCACCGTACCCCCCTCTTCCTTTGTTTTGTGGTGTGGTTTGGGGAGCGCTGCGGCTTGGCTGCGGCCGTCACCGCTGCGCCACACGCCACACTTCCCGCGTGGCCCGCGGGATGGTGGTACCAACGCGAGTGGGCAACGTGTGCCGTGCAGGCGGTGGTGATAGCCCTGGACTACAAGTGGAGCCTCCGAGGACTCGAGGGGGAGGAGCGGCAGCGGCGATTGCATCTCGTGCACGAGCGGTGCGAACCCCCCTCCCTTTCCGCCGCGAATGGCCCGTTGTGGTGTGCCAACAACGACGACGACAACAGGTCGGCCGATCGGCTGCTGCGGCTATTCCAGCAGAACAAGGGCATCTACGTGAAGGCCGGACAGCACATCTCCTCCCTCGACTACATCCTCCCCTACGTAATAACACCACGCCCGTCCTATTCCATACCATTCCATTCCATCATCATCGCGATCTACCCTTTATTGAGGATATTCTTACTTTCACATGCGGGGTCTCACTCGCTTTTCTCGCGCGCGCGCGCGCTCTCTCCCCCCCCCATCTCTCTTGGCCACCTCCAGGAGTTCGTGTTCGCCATGACGCCCCTACACAACCAGGTACGTACCCCCCGCCCTCCTCTCCCTCCCCTCTTCCAGGCGTTGCGGGCGGGGGAGGGGAGAGGGGACATTGGCGCTGACGACTGCCCTCCGCCCCCGCCCGCTCCCCTCCCCTCCCCATTGGCCAGGCCCCGACGTGTCCGTGGGAGGACACTGTGCGCGTGTTCCGCGAGGAGTTCGACAGCCATCCCGACATCATGTACCATCACCCCACCACCCACCAACGA